ATCTTATTTTCAGCATAACAGTATTCATTGTTTTTGCACCACACCCAGTGTTCCATGCAATCCGTGCCCTCTCCAATACCCACCACCTGGTTCCCCCAACCTCCCACCCCTGCCCCTTCAAAACACTCAGATTGTTTTTCAGAGTCCATAGTCTCTCATGGTTCACCTCCCCTTCCAATTTACTATATTTTTAAATATCCATGAAACATGAAATTGGTTTCCATGAATAAAAAGTCTCAGAACACAAATGAAAGCAACATGCTAATCTAAGCAAATTGTCGGGAGAGTTTCTTTCCCACTTTATATTCAGAAGCTCTACTGCCTAATTTAGAATGTGTGAGTATATTCTTATTTTATATTGGCCTCCACAATATGTGGAAACACATCAGGGTAGACTTTAATAATCATTTCCACGTTCTCCTCATCCTTCTTCTGGCTGGATGTGGAGCAACATGGGGGCCCACTTAAGAGATGAAGCTGTGAACAAAAGCTGGGGCATGATTGTATCAGTATTGTGGTGGAGAATGGGAGCACTAGGGGCACACAGAGGGCTCTGGGACCTGGAATACTCTGTTTATAGGTCTGTAAGTTCATTGTAAGCTGTTCAGTTTATAATAATGGTTGAAGTGTATATTTTGTAGACTTTGATGTATGTAAGTATGCTAACTATCATGGTAAATTATGGCTGAAAAACTTGGATTCTACGTGGGTTTAAATTAAATATTTAAGGAATCAATAAGCCAAGACTCAGAAGAAAGGCTCAGGTGAAGGGAACAGCCTTCCAAGTACAAAATAGAATAGCTCACACAGAAGAAACCGGAACTAGAGTAGTGTGGAGTAATGTAAACCAGTCTGGGGCAGAGACAGTGCTTTCACTACACTCAATGAAGACCTTCCACCAGGTTCTGCAGGGGGAACCAAGTCCCTAGAGAACCCCATTGTATAGGTCTGTTTTAGGCTGTATGTCATTATCTTTAGGTTAAGGTAAAGAGGAGATGGTTCTCCTACATATTATGTAATTTCACTTTCTTAACCCTTTCTGTATTCTTGATAAAGTCTTAAAGAACTTCTTTAGGCATAATTTTGACAATGGTGTGATGATTAAAATTTGAGAATGTAGAAAAGATGGACATATTTAGGCATAGAGAAAGTACTGCTTCAATCCCCAGAGTTAGCATAAAGCATAATGATTGAAACAGACCCAGATACCAAACTCATAATTCAATTTGAGAGGTGACTCAGAATTCAGTAAATTTGTGTTGGGTCCAGAACATTGAGCTAGAGGGTTTTATATCTCACCTGCCTAGATAAGCACTGCTCTAGGAAATTGGTGTAGACCGGAGTCTGAAGGTCGAAGTCAGGTTGGCACAGTTAAGTAAACTGGAGAGTGGATAAGCAGTTGACCCTGTGTGTGTATGTGTGTGTGTACTCATTATGCAATTATTCTGGGGTTTATCTTTGTATAAATTGATCACAGTATTGGGAAGTTGACATTATTTGGTAGTTTTTCAGCCTTTTTTTTTTTTTTTTTTTTGAATAGGTTTTCTGGTTCTTTCGAACTCTCTTCTCCTACTGGGGTTGCTGAAAAGCATATATTGATTCACTTGGTAGCATCCCATAAGTCTTTCAGGATTTCTTCAGTATTTTTTGTTCTTTTTCATTTCACCCTCCTGTCAGAATAACTTACAGTGATTTTTTTACATTTTATAAACATATACAATTTTTACTTAATAAAGCTTAATGTCAATTAAGCTTGAGGAAAACCAAGCATTTTAGAAGATTGTATAAAATAATGTATCTGGGTTACGTAAAACATGCTTCGTGTAAGTCATCACTGAACCACAGCTGTGGCACTTTCTCTCTTTATTTTCATCATCCAGAACATCGAGAAAGGTATCATCAAATTATATTCACCTACACACCTGGTCTTCCTAGATTCATCATCAGTATAGTTCCCAATTTAGCTGTGTACTATTTCCATCTGATTTTCACAAAGTATCCAGATTTTTTTAAACTTTATTTTTTCAGTGTTCCAAGACTCATTGTTTATGCATCACACCCAGTGCTCCATGCAATATGTGCCCTCCTTAGTACCCACCACCAGGCTCATGCAACCCCCAACCCCCTCTGCTCCAAAACCCTCAGTTTCTTTCTCAGAGTCCACAGTCTCTCATTGTTCATCTCCTCCCCCGATTTCCCCCAACTCCCTTCTCCTCTCCTTGTCCCAGTGTTCTTTGTGTTATTCCTTATGCTCCACAAATAAGTGAACCATATGATAACTGACTGTCTCTGGTTGACTTACTTCACTCAGCATAATCTCTTCCAGTCCCTTCCATGTTGATAAAAAAGTTGGGTATTCATCCTTTCTGATGGAGGCATAATATTCCACTGCATATATGGACCATATCTTCTTTCTATAGAGATGTTTAATCAAATTCATGATCCTGTCTTTTCTTCAATCTCCTTTGCTCTTGAGCCCCTCTGCTGAATTTTTTAGTTCAGATATTGTATTTCTCAGCTCCATGATTTCTGTTGAATGCTTTTAAGATTTCTGTCTCTGTGTTGAAATTTTCTCTTGGTTTGTGTATTGTTCTCTGACTCCAGTGAGCATCTTAGGACGCTCATTTCAATTCTCTGTCAGGTAAATCACATATTTTCATTTCATTAGTGTCAGTTTGTGGAGATAGCTCTTATTCCTTTTTGGAAAGTATCTCAACTTGTCTTCATTTTCATTGATTCTCTACACTGGTGTCTGCACATTAGGCAAAACACTTATCCGTCCTGACATTTATGGACTGGCCTTGACTAGAGAAGGTACCACCAACAAGCCTGGTAAGAGACTTTGGAGACCTTTCAATTTTGTGCAGTCTAACCCTCTTTCTTTGGTATTAGTTGCAGTGCCCCCAACTTCTTCCCATGCTCCCCCAAACACCTGTCTTCATGTGTGCTGTATTGTGTCTGTATTCTAAAACAAACAAATCTGAATCCAATTTTTCAGGCAGCACACAGATAAGTTGTATTGCTTGCTGGATGCATAGGGCACATTTTTTTCCTCATCAGAGAGAAGCTACCAAAAAGAGCTTTTCAATCACTTCCTCTATGCTGAGCCAGGGGAAGGAGACCTGGTGGCTTCCAGCCCACACACCATCTCTTTGTCTCTCTCCCAGTGCAGCTGAAGTATGCTGTGTCCTATATCCCCTCTACTTTCTGACAGAGACTATCTAGAAACCAGTCTTCTAGGCACATGTTTTAAAAGTTGGGGCATTGTATAGATGGTGCAATTCATTCCCTCCCCAGGGAGAAGCCAGGAACTGGTTTCAAATTGTTCCAATTTGAAGGTGCTGTGCAAGCATAACTGTTATTAAAAAAGGATATCTAGAATTTCCCTAAATGTTAGGGAATGTGTCTAGATTCTTTGTTTAACTGGGAACAGGACTGTTTAACCACTGTCTGGATTTTTTAGAATGGGAATATATGTATGTGAATCATTTTTGAATCAGTGTGTCCATGGAGAATAGGAAATTCTAGAATTTCCTTTTCTGCCATGTTGCTGACCTGGAAATAGGAATTTATTTTTGGTTCCTCTCGGGGGATGTCTGACCCCTCCAGTGGACTGTAACCTTGAGTAAAATTTTGAGCACCAAAGGAACTAGAGACACATTGTGGTCCTCTGTGAAAATACAATCCCCTCTAGACCCTATTACCCCAGAAACCATTGCCTGCGTAAGAAACATAGCAAGCTTCTGCCCTGTTTATAATTGAGGACATTATATCATTGCCCTCACCTTAAGTCTTCTGTGATTTACCAAGTGCAAAATGATCATAGTAAAGACTGTTTATTTTGGTCTGCTGCTTAAGACAACTGATAATCAGAAATTATTGTCTGTGGTTCAGAAGGATTTCCAGGGCTCATCAGAAATTAAGTGTTGACTGTGTCATCATAACATCAAAGGGAGCAAAGCCACAGAGATTAAATCTGCCCTTTCAGGAGCACAGGGGTAATACCGGTAAGGAAGGACCAAGGTGTTCTTGCCTAAGGAGGGTGAGTTTCTGAATTCCATTTATACTCTTGTCTTTCATTTTATTTTTTAAAAGAGTTTATTTATTTATTTGAGTGAAGCAGTGTTTGAGAGAGCAGGAGCAGAGGGAGGAGGAGAAGCAGACTCCTTGCTAAGCAGGAAGCTGGATGTGGGGCTTCATCCCACAACCCTGGAATCAAGACCTAAGCTGAAGGCAGATGTTTAACTGACTGAGCCACCCAGGAACCCTATTCATGTCTTTCTTTTGTGATGGAAGACTAGGGATCAAAGATGCCAATTTCTTTCCAGTTCTTTGCAGTCCTCAGACTCACATGAAATTGGTAGAAGGACCAGTTTAGGGGAGGGTGATGGAGCAAGGAAGGTTTAGAAACATTATTAGGCTTCAAGGATGCAATTTATTGGTCAGTTCCATTGATGGAACTCTCACTCTTCTACATTCATTATTTTTACTCTCTACGTGGGGCAGGAACGTGAACTCTCCTAGACTCTGGTCCTTTATTTTGGATTAGAACAATGTTCTTCATTCCCACCACATGAAATCCAATACCCCTGAAAGCCAGCACCCATTTGGTGGGGTTGCTGCCTCCATTTTACTGGTTAGGGGAGGGTTTATGTGTTCAAAGAATTGAAATGAGAGAAGGCAATTCCCTTTTTGTCCAATCTTCTCCCTAACCTTTGGTTAGGGAGAAGTCCTGTTGGCATATGGAAGCCTTGGCCTTCATTTTGTAGGCTAAGTTTTAATGCTCTTTGTTTTACAGCTTATAGAGCCCCTAATAAGGAAGTGTCCATGTCACTAGATTCATGATAATGACAAAGCAGATTCTGTGGGTCCAGTCTGGGGTAGACTCAGATATTCCCAGTACAAACCCAACTTCTGTGCGAGGAGATATGGTGGGAAATGTTCAATTGTTTTCTGTGTAACTTTTTTTCTCCTGTGTTCACAGATCCCTTTAGAGAAGAATGCCTCCTAAAAATGCTTCCTTTGTGACTGAATTCATTCTAATGGGGCTAACAGACTTACCATATCTCCAGCTCCCCCTGTTCTTCCTGTTTCTACTCATGTATGTGGTCACTGTGTTGGGAAATTTGGGCTTGGTAACTCTAAACCTGCTGAATTCACACCTGCACACGCCCATGTACTTTTTCCTCTTGAATTTGTCCTTCATAGACCTCTGTTATTCTTCTGTATTTACACCCAAAATGCTGATTAACTTCACATCAAAGAGGAATATTATCTCCTACAGCGGATGTATGACCCAGCTCTTCTTCCTCTGTGGTTTTGGTATTTCTGAATGTTATATGCTGACATCAATGGCCTGTGATCGCTATGTGGCCATCTGTAACCCACTTTTATATAATGTTGCCATGTCCCCTAAAGTGTGTTTCAGCTTTATGCTTGGTTCATATTTGATGGCATTTTTGGGTGCCATGGCTAACACAGGATGCGTGCTGAGACTGAATTTCTGTGATGCAGCCACTATTAACCATTATTTGTGTGACATGCTCTCTTTGCTCCAACTCTCATGCACCAGGACTTATATCAGTGAGCTGATGCTTTTATTTCGGTGGGCATTGATATCATTGTGCCCAGTGTCACCATCTTTGTCTCTTATGGTTGCATCCTGTCCAGCATCCTGCGCATCAGCTCCCCTGAGGGCAGGTTCAAAGCCTTCAGCACCTGCAGTTCCCACATATTTGCTGTTTCTCTCTATTTTGGATCTGGTGCATTTGTGTATCTTAAACCATCTTCTGTTGGGTCAATGGGTGAGGGAAAAATCTTTTCTGTCTTTTATACCAATGTGGTTCCTTTGATGAACCCCTTCATTTACAGCTTGAGGAACAAAGACGTTAAACTTGCTCTGAGAAAAACCCGAAGTGGTAGAACATTTTGATCATAATCACTGTATGTGGGTATAGTTACAGGACTGGTATATTCAATTTCTTTTGTCAGAATAGTTTAGTGGGAGTGTTAATATCCTGTATCCTTGTTACCACCATGATGGAAATTTGATTTTCCTGTCAGTTTGTTTCTAATATTTTTTGGTGGGTACAGTGACAAGGTAGAGCTCCCCAAGTCCCTCCTCTGCTTCATGGATTCTGGGATGGAAACTGTGTAGAGGTGTGGAAATTCTCAGTGTGTTAGGGTATGTACTCCACACCAGCTGAGAGCCTCTTTCTTCTTCTTTTGTCTAGGGCTACTGGTCCAGTAGACTCTTATTCCTTGAGAGCTATATAGCTCATATAGTTCACCAACATGTTACTATAGCCAAATTCATTACCATACTTAAATATGAACTTGACTAAGTGGTCATTGAGGACAACCCCAGCCCCAACATCAAAGGTGGAAGATTGGGTGTCATTTTTAATTGCAAATTACTACCTAATCCTCAGTGAAGCCCAGGATGCCCTTGAGGGGGTCCTCTGATGCCTGCTTCATTGGCTTCTTGATGTTATAGTACTATGCAGCTTTCTTCAGGCAGCAGCTCAGATCCACAATTGACACTTTGTGGGTGGGGACATGGAAGGCCAAGTCAGTGCGCTTCCTATTCAGCTCAGGGATGACCTTGCCTATAATCTTGGTGGCATCAGTATAGAAGCAGGAATGATATTCTGGGAAGCCCTTCAGCCGTCATGCCACAGTTTCCCAGCCAGGCTTGGCATGGTCTTCTTTGTGGCAGTTATGGCATGGACTATGGTCATGAGTCCCTCCACGATGCCAACGTTGTCATGGATGACTCTGGCCAGAGAGGCTAAGCAGCTGGTTCTGCAGGAGGCATTGCTGACAATCTTGAGAAAGTTTTCATACTTCTCATGGTTCACACCCATCCCAAACTGCAGTGCATCAGTAGAATGGGTAGAGATGCTGATATTCTTGGCCCCAACTTCAAGTAAGGCACAGCCTTCTGCATTGGACTCCACAGCATACTCATCAGCAGCATCTCCCCGTTTGACGTTGGTGGGATCTCCGTCCTGGAAGAGGTAGGTGGGCTTTGCATTGATGACAAGTTACCTGTTTTTTGCCTTGACTGTGCCTTTGAGTTTGCCATGGATGGAATCATACTGGAACATGTAGGTCATGTAGTTGAGGTCAATGAAGTTATCCTCGATGGCAACAGCATCCACTTTGTCACAGTTAAAAACAGCCCTGATGACCAGGTGCCCAGTACCACCAAATATACTATCCCAACCTTTACCATCTTGTCTTTGGCATGGTGCTGTCACTGCACCAGAAGATGTGGCTGTGTGTCAGACAGGGAGGAGCAGAGAGCCCAGTTTGTTTCCAATTTCTTTTTTTTAAATTTAATTTTATTTATCCATTTGAGAGAGAGAGATAGTGAGAGAGAGCATGAGAGGGTAGAAGGTCAGAGGGAGGAGCAGGCTCCCCGTGGAGCTGGCAGCCCAATGTGGGACTCAATACCTGGAATCCAGGATCAGGACCTGAGCCGAAGTCAGTTGCTTAACCAACTGAGCCACCCAGGTGCTCCTGTTTCTAATTCCTTGATAGAAGATCTTCCTTCCTCATCATTTTCACAGTGTCTTCTCCTTTTTACCTCTTTAACCACTTACAAATAACATTAATGAATAAATTTGTCTCTCTTTTTTACATTGTCATTATGGATTTGTTTTTTTCTCCTGGAAAGGATAAACAGTTCTGTAAATGATCATGTAAAGTAACAGTATGGTGATCTTGTACCCATGGGGGGTTTCTTATACTGTGCTATTGGAATCAGAATCAGATATCTGTACTCCTGTCTATATACCTCCCTGGCCTTCAGTGTGTCTCCTTGAAATGTCATTGTTTCACAGATACAGCAGGTTCCAGAACATTCATAAAATATAATCCACTTTTCAGCTAAATGCTACATGTTAAATGCCTTTTGGTGGAGGTTTCATATTTGCCATAGGACACACAAGTGATCTTTAATATGTATTTATTGCATAGACATGATACTGAAGCTGAGAAAAGTTGATGAATTACATCATACAGCTTATTAAGGAAATGTCTAGGTAAAGTGTAGCCTCCTGATTTTAAGTCTACTGCTCTTTCAAATATACTTTTTGTCTACTTCATTTTATTATCTTTATTTTTAGTTTATTCCAATAACCCTAAAATATGAGAACATTTTTTATTTTGGAAAGTTGACTGTGATTTGTTGGCTTGCGCATAAATATCCCTCAGGGTAATGGTTGCTTTAGGAAAACAGTGTGATAGTTCTTTTTCTTGTCCAAGAGAAGTCCTATTAGGCTAGTTGAGAGATGATTGATTGAAACAGGGAGCTTTTTGCAAATTAATTAAAAAATATTTTAGGGCGCCTGGGTGGCTCAGTGGGTTAAGCCGCTGCCTTCGGCTCAGGTCATGATCTCAGGGTCCTGGGTTCGAGTCCCGCATCGGGCTCTCTGCTCAGCAGGGAGCCTGCTTCCCTCACTCTCTCTCTCTCTGCCTGCCTCTCTGTCTACTTGTGATCTCTCTCTGTCAAATAAATAAAATCTTTAAAAAGAATATTTTAGAATGTTTTCAAGTACTAGTAATTTAGAGACGAGGGCATGGGAGAGAAAGGAACCCAGCACCAGACATTAGGCCAGGACCCAAAACCACATGGACAGTAAAAAAATCTCTCTGTAAGAAAGGACTATGAGGTTTAAAACCACCTTTCATCTGACTTTGTCTCCTGCTCTCCAGAGTACTGCAGTTCCCCCCAACCCCGCCCCGTGTCTATATAGCTGTGATAAAACTTATAATGCACAATGATCCTACATTAGGGAATGAAGGCCAAAAGGCCAGATTGGTCTCCACATTTATGAGGAAGCAGGAACACAGAGAACAGGAGCTTAAATAGTGTTTGGTATTCAAAATTCAAGTCAAGATGAAGGGATTTAGAAAGCAAATGATCGAGAAAAGACATCTCTTTTTGTGACTCTTCCTTTCTAGAAGGCTCTAGAAATATTATGGAGACCACAGGATTTCTCTGGGTAGGATAAAAGCACAAGTCATTTGCTATTTAAACCAGGTGATGGGTATTAAGGAGGGTCCGTGTTGTGATGAGCACTGGGTGTTATATGCAAATAATGAACCATTGCACACTGCATAAAAATCTAATATGTACTATATGGTGGTTACTGTTATGTCCGAGTTTTCGCGTCTGAGAGACCACCAAGGAGCCAACACCGATGTAGTCACAGGAGGGTTTATTTGACAATCTTAAGCTTGGGCCCAGGTATACCTGACAGAGCAGAGTAGGGACTTGAAACCCAAACCAGATTATAGTTAGAGTTTTTAAAGGCAGAGTAGGGGTGGACTCGGTGGTGGGTGAGGACAAAGGGGATATTCAGAAGGGCTATCAGGGTAAAGAAGACTGTCAGGATATTGGAGGCCTGATTATTATCAAGCCAAGGTTGTTTTTCCCTCTAATGGGGCACTAACATGAAGACAGTTGGGAGTTTACTGGTGGAATGTCACATTCTTCCTATCAAGCATCCTTGTTAGTGAGATTTAGCACTGGGACATTTGTAAACTGAAGGAGACTCCTGTCTTGCAGGATTGTGATTTCTGCAAGTTAACTATTTTTTCACACATACTACTGAGGGGAGGGGAGTGGCTGGTGAGGGAGTGCAAGGTGCCAGCTTTTGCTTTGTCAAGATGGCTGTACTTATGTCAGGGCTAGACTCGCAGTGGGTACAGCCTTGTTTTTCTTGGCCTCTACATATCCCTCTCTCAGAGGAACCTAAGGAAGGACCCAATCATGGGTCCATGCTGGTCTCAGCAACAAGTTCCAGTGGTTGGTATTACTGTCTGAGTACCATGAGTTGGATTGCACCGACTCTGTCTTTGACAAGAGTAACTAATCTATTGATAATGCAGGGCCCAAAGGTAAAGAGAAGAAGGGGAATAATGAGGGTTTCTTTTTACTCCCTGCCCTGGTGTAAGAAGAGGGCATAGTATCAGTAACATTAGTGGGGTACGTGACCCAATCATGGGTCCATGCTGGTCTCAGCAACAAGTTCCAGTGGTTGGTATTACTGTCTGAGTACCATGAGTTGGATTGCACCGACTCTGTCTTTGACAAGAGTAACTAATCTATTGATAATGCAGGGCCCAAAGGTAAAGAGAAGAAGGGGAATAATGAGGGTTTCTTTTTACTCCCTGCCCTGGTGTAAGAAGAGGGCATAGTATCAGTAACATTAGTGGGGTACGTGA